CCCACTTGACCGCAGGCGCACGACCGACCAACAAAGCTCGACCACCGGGGCTAGTAGTCAAGCAACTCACACCCGAGGAGATCAAACGTCGACGCGATAAAGGTCTTTGTTTCAAGTGCGAGGAAAAATTTATGCCAGGGCATCGTTGCAAACAAGCCTTCGTTATAGAGGTCGCCAACTCTGATGATGAAGAAGTTGAAGTCGAGAAAGAGCTGGAGCCAGTGGACGACATTGAAGCATTCGATGAGGAGGCTGAGATCTCGATGCACACAATGGCTGGAGTCAGAGGGCCAAGGACCATGAGGCTACCAGCTTGGGTTAAGGACCGACGAGTGATCGTACTCGTAGATAACGAGTCATCATACCCCAGAAGCTGAATCTGTCAACCACAATGATTGAGCCCTTTGAAGTTCGAGTAGCCAACAGTGAGAGACTTCAATGCACCGAGTCCTTTCGTAAGGTACCAATCATGTTCCAAGGGGTTGTTGTGGAGGCCGATCTTTATGCCCTACCCTTGGTTGGACCGGACGTGGTTCTAGGAGTGCAATGGCTAGAAGGGTTGGGAAGAGTGACCACGGACTACCGCACCGGAGTTATGGAGTTCAGATCGGGAGGGAAGAGAGTCACTCTCAAGGCTGGAGGAGAGAAGGTTACCAAGGAAGTTGGGCTGAAGAGCATTGAAAGAGTTTGGCGAGGTGGCGGCCAAATTTTTGCAGTAGTCGTCGAGAACACTGGGGCACACATCGTCGAGACCAAACAGCAGCAAGGAGATGTGCGCGAGCTTCTCGAGGAGTTTGAAGGAGTACTGGGCGAGCCTAAGGGACTACCACCCCACCGGGAGTTCGATCATTGCATACCGCTAGTCAATGAGCAGCATGTTGTACACGTTCACCCTTATAGGTACGCTCACTTTCAGAAAATGGAGATCAAAAGGCAAGTAGCTGAGATGTTAGAGTCAGGGTTAATTCAGCATAGCTCGAGTCCATTTTCATCACCAGTATTATTAGCTAAGAAGAAGGATGGTACTTGGAGGTTTTGTACCGACAATCAAGCTCTGAATGCGGCTACTATCAAGGATCAATTTCCTATTCCTAGTGTCGACGACATGCTCGATGAGTTGGCAGGATCACGCTAATTCTCGAAGCTCGACCTGAGAGCTAGTTATCATCAGATCCGACTCCACAAGACCGACATTCCAAAGACAGCTTTTCGTATACATCAGGGGCATTATGAGTATTTGGTGATGCTATTCTAGTCTTCTTTGATGATATCTTGGTTTATTCGAAGTCATGGGCTGAACATCTGGAGCATTTAAGAGTGGTGCTCGAAGTCTTGGAGGCTAACTCATTTCACATCAAGCCGTCCAAGTGTTCATTCGGGCAGGAGATGGTTGAGTACCTAGGTCACTTTATATCATACGATGGCGTGAAGGTTGATCCACGGAAGATAGAGGCTATGGTCGACTGGCCTAAGCCAACGAGTCTCACACAACTCCAAGGATTCCTAGGGCTCACGGGTTACTATAGAAAGTTTGTAAAGGATTATGGGACCATCGCCAAACCACTTACAGAGATGACCAAGAAAGCCAGGTTCGCATGGACCAAGGCTAGCGAGGAGGCATTTGAGAAACTGAAGGGCGCCATGACTACGACGCCACCCAAGTTCCATTTCATGTTATGTTCAAGCTTTCCGACCATTATGTGTTATTTAATTCAGTAAAGCATGTCTAAGTTCAGTTATAAATGAATTGCCGAGAGATTATGAGATTCGGTCGAGGAACGGCACAATGCCGTCGGCGTGCATGGCGCCCGCCGCGGCCTTAGTTCCGCTTCATGTTAATCTTCATGTTTTCAGCAATTATGTGCCTATATGTTCATGTTATGCTAATTGAAGTCATGTTGCTCGAAAAATATTGTCGGACGGCCGACAAGGGTC